AGAGTGGAGGGTGGAAGGTTGCCCATGGTGAAGGAGGCAAGCCCAGAGAAAAGAGAGACACACAGAGAGAAGCAGTTTGGGGGTTCTTGCCCTCCAGAAAAGCAGGAAAGGGGTTGGGGAGCAGAAATAAGGTATTGGGGTGCAAAAATAAGAGATGAGGGCACAAAAATAAGAAGTCAGGGTGCAAAAATAAGAGGGGGGTGCAAAAATAAGAGGTTGGGGTTCTTGCCCCTCCCCCAGAAAAGCAGAGAAGGGGTAGAAACAGGGAGAGAAGGGGTCGGGGTGCTTGCGCCTCCCCCAGAAAAGCGAGACTTGCTGCTTAGGGTGAAGGACCAAGGCAGGCATCCCTGCAGCATGGTCAGACACCTCTAAAACGTGCGTGAGTAATCAGAGAGGCGTCCCTGCAATGATTAAACACCAAGGGAAGGCTGCCTTCCCCAGTCCATGACCGGCGCCAGCGTTTTGGGTCCACGGATAAAACGTGTCTCCTTTGTCTCTACCAGAAAATGAATTGAAATGAAGAGAAGGGAGAGATTGAAGGGTGGTGCCAAGATTGAAAGGAGAAAGAGGCTGAGAGATAGGGAGAGAGGTTGGAGAAGAGAGTAAAAAGGGAGCCACTTACCTGATTTAAAATTGGTGAGATGTTCCTTGGGCTGTTGGGTCTGAGGACCCGAGGTCGTAGGTAGATCTTTCTCATGAAGCAAAGAGCAGGAGGATGGGATTGATCTCCCAAGGGAGGTCCCCGATGCGAGTCACGGCACCAAAATGTTATGCATGTCCGTGCGAAGAGACCACCAAACAGACTTCGTGTGAGCAACATGGCTGTTTTATTTCACCTGGGTGCAGGCGGGCTGAGTCCGAAAAGAGTCAGTGAAGGGAGATAAGGGTGGGGCCATTTTATAGGATTTGGGTAGGTAAAGGAAAATTACGGTCAAAGGGGGGTTGTTCTCTGGCGGGCAGGAGTGGGGGTCACAAGGTGCTCAGTGGGGGAGCTTTTTGAGCCAGGATGAGCCAGGAAAAGGAATTTCACAAGATAATGTCATCGCTTAAGGCAAGGACCAGCCATTTTCACTTCTTTTGTGGTGGAATGTCATCAGTTAAGGCAAGGCAGGGCATTTGCACTTCTTTTGTGATTCTTCAGTTACTTCGGGCCATCTGGGCATATACGTGCAAGTCACAGGGGATGCGATAGTTTGGCTTGGGCTCAGAGGCCTGACATTGGTGTTCTCAGTTTCTATTTCCTGGGCCAAAAAATATCAGGAAATTAAAATAGCCAGTCTCTGGGGCTGCGGTTAACCAAAGTGAGGGGGCATCTGAGATTTAGTTGTTGAAAGACAATGGGAATGAGGGCAAGAAGGAGCCTCTTTAAACACAAACACATCTGGTGTCCACCAGAATTAGGACTGTCTCTTCCCTTTAGTGGAGGTGGCCACATGCACCAGACTGGAATCTTCAACACTAACTGCTGAGAAGGACCAAGCTGAGACCTGTGGACCTGCCATGACCTCCTTCTCCCTCAGCAGGTCCTCAATGAACTTGGAGAGATGAGGGTCAGATTTGCTTTAAATTTCCAATCCTTTCAGCTGGATGTATTAGTTGCAGGCTATGGAAATGAGGAAGAAGGGGAAAGGCAGGAAACCAAAGTTAAGTACACTGCCTAAATTGCACGTTATCTTTTAAAATCTATGTAAGACTCATTTAAGGTAGACATCATTACTCCCTGGACTGCTTCTATACCAAGAGAAAAAGGACAGCCCTGAGCAGAAGGGAAAGGCATGAATTACTTTTCTTCCAAGCAAAAGTGGTGAAGAAGAAAAAATTTCCTTTGACATCCACCTTATATTGGTGCCCCTTCCATTTCATAAAAAGTAGAATGTTGAAGCTTTGACCATAAGAGATCATCTACATCAGCTCCTTTAAAGTGAGGGTCTAGAGTTGGAAGGTGACTTGCTTATGGCTACAGAATACATGGAAAAGCTCTAATAATCAAAGATCTCCATTTCAAAGCTATTGCTTTTCTCAACTGTAAATCTTTCAGGGAAGTAATTCCTTTTGCCCCCGGATTTATAATTTGTAGACTTTTTAATATACTACCTGTGAAATGGATATGTTTGCCATTGTCATTTTACCAGTGATGAAGGGATCAGAGTTAACAAGTTAGCTAATTTCCTGAGACTTGTCTTCCTGAGACAGAGATGCTATGAAAAGCAAGTGCCTTTAAAATATTTTCTCAAGTATCCTGGGCTTCCATTCACTCTTCCCCCCTACTTTTAAGAGTATTAGAGGTTTACTATAGAAAAATTTGAAAAACACAGAAAAGCACAAGAAAAAAATTATATCACCTACAACCTCAGCACACAGAGATAACCAATATAGCACTTTGAATTTATGTTTTTAGTGGTTTTAATACATAAATATATATTTTACATGGGATCATACTGTACATATTGTTTTATAATATTTTTACTTAACAATATATCACGAATACTTCATTTAATATTAATTGACATCAGGTTTTTTTGTTTTGTTTTTTTGAGACACAGTCTCACTCTGTCACCTAGGCTGGAATACAGTGGTATAATCTCGGCTCACTGCAACCTCCACCTCCTGGGTTCAAGCAATTCTCCTGTCTTAGCCTCCCGAATAGCTGGGACTACAGGTGCATACCACCATACCTGGCTAATTTTTCTGTATTTTTAGTAGAGACGGGATCACCATGTTGGTCAGGCTGGTCTTGAACTCCTGATCTCAGGTGATCCACCTGCCTCAGCCTCCCAAAGTGCTGGGATTACAGGCATGAGCCACTGCGCCCGGCCTGTGACATCAGTTTTAAGTTTTAGGATTTTGTGTCATTCATGATGGTTTCTGAAACATACATTTCCAGGTACAATTTCAAAGTCAAAAGGCAATGCTTAAGGCTTCTGGTATTGGTTGCCAGAGACAGTATGTATTTATTCATGTCTTACCAGCAGCATTAGAGTCCCAATGTCCCTGAATCCCTGTCTGTTTTATAAGGAAGTGTAATCTCAACTCTTGCTTTAATATACATTTTAACTGTAGTGATGTTGAACATTTATTGTTCACTGGCACTTATTTTGTGATTTCCCTACTTAAGTAGCATTTTTTTTCTATTGGAACTTTCTTATGGGGAGAGAATATACTGAAGTGGCTCCACAGTCAGGTTGTGGGTTCAAAGTCTGACCTCCCCATTTTTTAGATATATGACCTTTAGCCTTCATTTCCTCATCTGCTACATACACGCTGTGATGAGAAATAACATTAATAATTATATACAAAGCCCTTAGCAAGTATCTATGACATTTATTTTTTTTCCTTTTCTTTTTCGGTTTGGAGACAGGGTCTTGCTCTCCCAGGCTGGAGTGCAGTGGTGTGATCTTGCCTCCCTGAAGCCTCAACCTCCAGGGCCTGAGTGAACCTCTTACCTCAGCCTCCCAAATACTTGGGTCTACAGGCATACACTACGTCTGGCAAATTCTGTTTATTTTTTGTAGAGATGGGGTCTCACTATGCTGCCCAGGCTGGGCTTGAACTCCTAGACTCAAACAATCCTCCAGCCTTGGCCTCCCAAAGTGCTGGGATTATAGGTGTGAGTCACTGTGCTTGGCCTATCTATTACACTGCTTACTAACATACAGTAGAGCTTTCTTACATAAAGAGTATTTCCGTTTTACAATATACAATTCCTACTTAATGTCCTACCTTTTCAGTTTGTTCAGGTCTTTATCTGTGGAAGAGGAGGAAAATAAGAGTTGAGTAGCTCTTGCCATGTATTTTAATATCTTACATCTTTTCCAAATAATCCCATCCATTTTTTCCATATTCTCTCCCCAAACATGGGCATTTAGACCTCCTGCCATTCTTACTGGTTAGCACATGTCCACTGATGTATGCCCCAGTAACAGCATTACTTCTCTTTGCTTCTTTTTATCCTCATGAAAATTCTTTTTTTATGCACAGGATTCTAGATTTCCACACAGATTTGTTTTTGGTGTGGTGTGTTATTCTTCCTACCTATTAGGTCTTTTGAATATGTCTTTGTGTTGCTGGTTAACCTGCACAACATTCCATCTTACACTAAGCATCAGTCTAAATATTCTCTTCCTGCTAGGCCCCTTAGAAAAGGGAAGTCTCGACTGATTGTGACCATTAGTTTCAGTTGTCACTTTCTTTTAGCAGTCTTTAATAAAATTTGCAAAAGATGGCTGGGTGTGGTGGCTCATGCCTGTAATCCCAGCACTTTGGGAGGCTGAGGTGGGTGGATCACCTGAGGTTGGGAGTTCGAAACCAGCCTGACCAACATGGACAAACCCTGCCTTTCCTAAAAATACAAAATTAGCTGGCCCTGGTGGCACATGCTTGTAATCCCAGCTACTCAGGAGGCTGAGGCAGGAGAATCGCTTGAACCCAGGAGGTGGAGTTTGCGGTGAACCAAGATCACGCCATTACACTCCAGCATGGACACCAAGAGCGAAACTCCATTTCAAAAAAAAAATTGCAAAAGATATTGTGAAATACTGGTGACATAAAACAAAACTGAACATGTGCGAGGTGCCCAAAGAACGTCACAGACCCAGCAACTGACAAATACTTTTTGAGCACCAAAGCCCAAGGGAATGTATAGGAATCGTGGGCATACAGCCCCAGAAACAAATGATATGGCAGCTTCTGATCTAGAGTCTTGGGAATTATAGGAAACCTGACAGCAACTCTGATATTGACTTTAGAATCAAAGGAGAATCTTAAGGATGGGAGAGACAGTCTTAACACTCAGACTCTTGAGGTATAAATATGGGCTCTTTCTCACCCTCATTCCCACTACTACCCTCATGGAAGTTCTAGGATAGCCTACAGGTTTGGCAAGGAAACCACATATTTGCCCTTTCCCTGGGGTCACATAAACCAAGACAAAGCTCTTGACTCCCCTGTGGTCCAAGGGCTCCAGGTTTTGTCCATTAACAGGAACTTCTCCACTGGCACTGCTTAAGAGTCTGGCCAGACCCAGACTTCTCTGACAAGACCTCACTACATCAGGAACTCAAGGAATGCTCCACACTTTGTTTCTGGCCTTTGGCTACTGTTCTTTACTGGGACTCTTCTTCTCTGGAGTACCACCTTGGCTAACTCCTCCTCATCCTTCAGGCCATTTCCCCCATTTCCTTATCCAAGGCTGAGTCAGAGGCTCCTTAAGGTCACATAGGAGCATTCCACTTTCACTGCCTGTTTGGCTGCCTTGCCCATTAGACTATAGAGATTACAGTCTTATTTTCCACTGTATTCCTAGTCCCTGGGATAAAGTAGGTACTCAAAAAATAACCTTTGGGTAAATTATATTCTTTCTTCTCACGCCTATCTAATTCCTGGCCTGCCCTGGGCTCAACAAATCATTGATGAAGCCATTTCCCCACCTTTCTTGCTGCTCTGTCACTGTTCTTTATTGGGTCAGTAAATTTTTTTTTTTAGTTCCTGAGACAAAGTGCCTCACACAGTCCACACCAGCCCCATAACCTGGTACACTAACAATCAGATGCAGTGACAGAGCCTAGGTTGCTATATTCTTTTCATGACACTTTCATACAAAATAAGATTTCAATATTACATTCCCATTTTTCATATTTCCTGAGTATTCCTAATAAGAGCTGGAAGTAATGATTCTTCTGTATTCTGTTCTGATTAGTCACAGGAAAAGCTTTCAAAGGACACTTTAGCACTGGGAAATACTGAACAAAGCAAGCTAGACTCAAGACCTAGTATTTTATAACCTTTATGGAGTTTTGCTCCAAAGTAAACTCTTTTGACTAACAAACATAAAAATTTGACTTAAGTATTTACACTATTCACAGTATTCACAAATTACTTTATAGTGTGGACTCTCTGATGGCGCATAAGGACTGATCTGTGCCTGAATGCCTTCCCACATTCATTACATATATAAGCTTCGTCCCCAGAATGAATTCTCTGATGCTGAACAAGGGCTGAACTCCTTTTGAAGGTTTTGCCACATTCATTACACTGATAAGGTTCCTCTCCACTATGAATTCTCTGATGTCTGATAAGGTTTGAGCTCAAACTGAAAGCTTTTCCACATTCATTACATTCATAGGGTTTCTCTCCACTATGTATTCTCTGATGAGTAATCAGCTCTGAGCTTTGCCTGAAAGCTTTTCCACATTCATTGCATTCATAGGGTCTCTCTCCTGTGTGAATTCGCTGATGTCTAATGAGTTTTGAGCTCTGGCTAAAGGTTTTCCCACACTCATTACACTCATAAGGTTTCTCACCAGTGTGAATTCTTTGATGTATAATGAGATATGAACTTTGACTGAATGCTTTGCCACACTCATTACATTTACAAGCCTTCTCACCAGTATGGATTTTCCGATGTCTAATGAGGGCTGAGCTCTGATTGAAAGCTTTCCCACATTCACTACATTCATATGCTTTCTCACCACTATGAATTCTCTGATGAATAATAAGATAGGACCTCAAACTAAAGGCTTTCCCACACTGGTTACATTTATAGGGCTTCTCTCCAGTATGGATTCTCTGATGTTGTGTTAGAGAGGAATGCTGCTTGAAGCTGTGCCCACATACATCACATCTATAAGGTCTCTCTTCTGGAGGAACATTCTGACACATTATAGAGTCTGTAGTTAGAATCAAGCATCTGTCAGTCTCATCATAAAGGTCTCTCTTTCCTAGAGATTTGTTTGTGAAGATCACTTGATTAAAACTGCCCCCTTGGGAAGGAGATCTTAGTTTCTCCCCTGTAGCACTTCCTTGCTTCCACACTAAATTGCTTTCATGCTCACTAATTCCTCGAAATGAAGGTTCCTGAGGGAGTCCCTGTGATTTTTCTTCTGAGATGCCCTTTGTTGCTGTTTCATTGTTCTCACAATCTGAAACAATAAGTAGCAAACAAACAGATATTACATTTCTCTAGTCACTGTCAATACTTTCTACATGAGAGAAAACAGAAGCTTCTACCTACAAAGATGTCATGTCCTCCAGTATCTTTTTATTCCAACTGGCCAAAAGAGGGTCTCTCATATCTAATAAAGTCTACATCTACACTTTGAATTTCATCCTTTCCTGCCTCTTTTGAGACATCAATTGATAAATTACCTACAATTTTTTTCTACTATTTACAATCTCTTTCTCAACTGATTCCTGTTCATCAGCTTTTAAATAAGCTTAAGTGTCTCCCACCTTTTAAAATTAACCTTCTTGCCTACATATCTCCCTCAAGCAACCTCACTCTCTCTCATAGTGGTTTCACAACCTCACTCTCTCATAGTGGTTTCCTGAAAGAGTTGTCTGCAGCCTTTCAAGTGAAAGTATCCTCATTCCACAATCTGGTTTTTGCCTTACCATCCTCCCCTGCCCCCCACTGCCCCGTCCCCTACTTCCACTGATTCTACTCTCATCAAGGTCACTTCATAGCTCTTTAATCCAATGGGTACTTTCTAGATTATTATTCTACTCTCATCAGGGTCACTTCATAGCTCTTTAATCCAATGGGTACTTTCTAGATTATTACTTAGCCTCTCTGTAGCACTGACACTGAGGATCACACCTTCCTTCTAGAGACATTCTCTTCCAGTGATATTAGCCTGATTTCTGTGGCTGTTCCTTCTTAGATTCTAGGGTAAATCACTCGGAAACACGAGCATTCCTCCAGATTCTGTTTTGGACTCTCATGTATCCTTACTCTACAAAGCCTCTACCCTTGGCTTCCGTTACAACTTATATTGTAAGCTATTGTCTGACTAATGCCTGCCCAGATCCCCAATTATATTCGTATTTTATTAAGCTCTAAAGTCTTATGCTAATTGGGCATTTTACTTTTGAATATTTCACAAGCACCAAATGTACCAACCTAAACAAATCATCAGATGTATTTGTTTTTCCTTATGTTTTCTCATTTACATGAACAATACTACCATTAACCAGATTGTTCAAGACTGAAACCTCAGTATCATCCTCAACTCCTCTCCCTCACACTCTAGTTTTAATAATTACCAGATGTTGCAAAGCAATTTAAATGCTGATGAACAGGAGTCAGCTTTTATGTTCTCCACCGCTCACCATAAGACATATTGATTGAATACACTGTGGCCACTTGGATTATAGCAGTCTCTAATAGGACCATACTCTTGCTTTCCTCGCATGATTCTCCATTTGCAGCTAACTTCTAAACTACAAATCAAACTATGTCACTCCCTGTCCAAAATCCTTCAACGGCACACCACTCCACTTAAGAAACTATACCATTAGCACGACATACAGGTCTTTACGACCCGGATCCTATTTTCCTCTCTGGTTCTTCTCTTACCACCTGTCAATTCTCCATTCAAGTCAAATTCAACTACCTGCAATTTTCAGAGTGGGTTGTATTCTCACACCTTCGATCCTATTTTCCTCTCTGGTTCTTCTCTTACCACCTGCCAATTCTCCATTCAAGTCAAATTCAACTACCTGCAATTTTCAGAATGGGTTGTATTCTCACACCTTCGATCCTATTTTCCTCTCTGGTTCTTCTCTTACCACCTGTCAATTCTCCATTCAAGTCAAATTCAACTACCTGCAATTTTCAGAATGGGTTGTATTCTCACACCTTCGGGATGGTATGGCCTTTACTTGGGCTACTCCTCCTCCCACCCATTTACCTGGCTTTCTCTTACTCATAGTTCAAGTCTTAGCATAGATTTTCTTCCTTCAGGAAGTATTCCTTGATCCTCTAAGATTGGGTTAGGTGCCTTTAGATGTGCTCCAACAGTTCCCAGTGCCTACTTTTATTCTATAATTTACTACATTGCAACTGCCTTTTTACTTGTCCATCACCCACCTAGACCTGAAACCTCTTTAAACCCAGGGCCTGCCACAGTGCCAGACATGTATTGATGCTTTATAAAATTACAACATAATGAAATGAGTGAATGAATAACAGGGAAACTGACACAGGAGGGCTCACAGCAATTCATGAGGGGTGAATACAAAGCCGCTAAAGTGAGCACCTCTGGTTTAGAATAATAAAGGTGATGCTCACATGTGGCAAGTTTATCAAGTGCAATTAATTCTGCATTCTCAAAAACAGAAACCTAAGTGTCAAGAGTTTCCAGATGATTTCCTATTCCTCACCACTTTTAGGGGAAAGGCACGGTTTCCAGGATTTCAGCTGTGTCTTTAAGGGCTGGAGGTGGATGTTTGGTGACTCTTGGGATGCTCTGAGACATGTTAAATCCTTCCATGGCACTGCTGGTTCCTGTGGACTAGCTGGGACCTGAAATCAGGAAAATATGGTTAGCTTTGTGAGAAAATCCCTAGGAAAACTTGCTTAGTAAAAATCTCAAAGAAGTCAATGATGACATCTCCAGGGAGAAAAGAGCATTCAAGGGTATAGACAAGTATGGCTCTACTAGTCACTTCAGGTTAGGCTTCAGTAGAGACATAAAAATTTTTATCCTACTGTTATGATACCATTACATGCTCCAGGCTGTAAATTCCTTTTCCCACAACACATCACTTTTCTCTGTTCCCACCTGCTGCCCTGGGTCATCAAACTCCCTCTCCAAATCCTCCAACAGGGTCACAGCTTCCTCGCCGCTTTTTGGATTATGTTGCTGAACCCAGATCTGCAGCTCCTCAGGCAGAATGCTCAGGAACTGCTCCAGTACCAGCAGTTCTAAGATCTGCTCCTTTGTGTGCAACTCTGGCATTAGCCACTGATAGCAAAGTTCTTGGAGTTGGCTCAGAGCCTCCCGGGGCCCAGGTGTCTCCTGGTAGCAAAACTTTCTGAACTGCTGACGAAACAATTCTTGGCAGGATTGAGTACTCCCATTCTGCTTAAATTTCTCATCCCAGGAAAAGTTATCTTCTACTTTCACTAGTATTAGTTCTTGTTCTGGAGGATCCTGCGGTATCAGGGTTGAAATCGCTACAGATTCCACAGCCATTCTTGGCTGAAACAGCTTAGCAAAAAGCTCAGTACAACTGGGTTCAGTGCTTGAGAAGGAGTGTGAGTAATCTCTTCTTTCCTGAAGGATATAAAAGCAGTTAACTTACAGCAATCAATAAAATCTCTAAAAACTTGTAATAATAAAGATGAGTAACTTTAGTAATACATTGAAAGGGAGCAGATTTGGGGCTATCACTAAATAAAACAATGAGATGATAAACTAAAAATCATTAACCTCAATCAGTGTCTCCCATTATGAAGAATTCCTACCATTAATGTTAGAAAAAACTATTTTAGAAGCCAAAGAATGTGTATGCAACATTAACATCAATCACATAGTGAGAAAATTTCCAATTCTTTTAATTCTGATTGTATCAAGGAGAAAAATTTATCTCTAACATGTATATATTAATACAACTTGTAGAACTCTCTTTTAAATGAAATATAGGCTTCAGAATCAGACTTCCAAGGGTAAAAATATTTAGGCAGAATTTAGTAATACTGATTTTAAACGTTTATTTTTAGTTACTTTCTATCTAAAGTAAGTAATGTTGATTTTCATTTAAGGTAATAATAACTTTTTTTTTTAAGTTCACATTAAACATGAGTTGATGTAAATATTGGGTATTTGTCATTTGATCACATTTGGTGTTTACCAAATTACTTCAACAAACACTGAGGCACTTACTGAGCATTAGGTTAAGGTTTTTGCTTATGAATAAATGAGTCTACTGAGGAATTGACCAAGAACAAAGACGTATCTGTAAAATGCTTACCACGTGTTCAAAAACATAATAGGTACCACATACACAAAAGCAGCAAAAAGATCAGTATCAGTTCTGAAAAAGCCTAGAATATCCCAGGAGTAAAAATGTTCAAAAGCAAAATATGGTAACAAATAGTTATTGTATTAAATGTTGTGAAACAGACCAAACTTGACCTGATTTTAGGATGGCGAGATATCGATAGGAGTGTATGCCCTTAGTTTGTCAGGACAGATGAGTAAAATTCATTCCTCACACTACGATTAACGTTAGAGATTAATTAGCATATTTAGCCTACAAATTTAAGGTTTATTAACCAGTTAGGCTGCACTAACTCGCACTTCTATTTTTATATCCTTGGTTAAACCCGCAGCATTTGCCAAGTCACGGGGTCAGGGGAACTGCGTTTTCCTTTGGAAAGCAGGGTTTTGAGTGCTGGCCTCCTCTAAGTTCCCCAGTCGCTTGGAGACGCCGCGCGGGCCAAGGGGCCGGGACCTGGGGATGGGCAGGCCGAGCAGCGGGGCTCCTCCACTGTCCGGCCCGCGCTCCTAACCCCACCTCCCCCTTCCTAGGGGCCCAAATCCCTCACCGCGAAGCCCAGGAGCGGCCAGGGAATGAGCCGCCGACCCAGAGCGGCAAGCCACAAAGACCGGAAGTGCGCGTACGCAGTGTTCCGCTCTCGTGCGCGCCGGGTTCCCCGCCGCTCCGCCCCTTGCTCTCAGGTAGCCAATCAGAGCCGCGGGATCAACTGGTCCCACTGCCTTCTCCCGGCGGCCGCTAGCCCGGCGGAACCTCCAAGCCCAGGCGAGGGTGAGCTAGGAGTCGGGGTCATTGTGAGGGGCGGCACTCAGGGGCCCCGTAAGCCGCCTGGGCCGTCGCCACCCTGGCTTTCTCCCGGCGCCACCCACGATTGTTGGTGTCGAGTAATTCCCGAATCCCACTCCCAATTTTCTATTAAAATATTCAGATTTTCGGCCGGGCGCGGTGGCTCACGCCTGTAATCCCAGCACTTCGGGAGGCCAAGGCGGGCGGATCACGAGGTCAGGAGATCGAGACCATCCTGGCTAACACGGTGAAACCCCGTCTCTACTAAAAAATACAAAAAATTAGCCGCGCGTGCTGCTGGGCGCCTGCAGTCCCAGCTACTCGGGAGGCTGAGGCAGGAGAATGGAGTGAACCCGGGAGGCGTGGGAGGCGGAGCTTGCAGTGAGGTGAGATCGCGCCACTGCACTCCAGCCTGGGTGACAGAGGGAGACTCCCGTCTCAAAAAAAAAATTAAGATTTTCCTGTGATTCCAGTTCTTTTCCGAGATCTCTGACAAAAGTAAACGCAAATAGGCTGAACAAAAACTAACAGTCACTTATATTGCTCTTGCCTATGAGTATCACTGGAGCCTTACAACAGCTTTGTGCTGTGGCTATATAGTCCCCAATTTACAGCCGTAGACATTGTCCAAAGTCAGGCAACTTGTGACCAGGGACGCCCACGTCCCCATAGTTCAAGGAGACTGGTATCATAGACTCCAGGAGCCTATTTCAGGGTCTTCCCGTTCTTCAGTGGAAGTTGGTATTAAGTCTTACTGTTTAAATTTTTCTGTGGTTATTTAGTCGGCGAAAAATGATGCCTCATGTTTCAACTTTGTGAGCTTAAGATGGTCCCCCTTCATGTTTATTGACCATTTGTGGTTCTTCAGAGATGGCTTTTCCCATTTAAAAAATTAAGGGGGTAAGATTTTTCTTTTTTCTTTGTGAGAATTTTTTGCTTATTAAGGATAGCAACTCATTTGTTGCAAATTGTTTCCCATTTATTTGTATTTATTTTTAAAATGTTACATTTTACATGTTTAAATGTTACATATTTAAAATGTTATATTTTAAAAAGTACATAGGATAATAACAAAGCGATACATACACACATAGAAACAAATTCTCCTTTGTCAGCCAAGACTGTTAAAACACACATATTTGAGAAAAAATGTTCGTTACCATTCAAAGCTATTAGTGACTCACTAAATAATTCTTTATCATTGTGAAATGACTACAGCAATTTTACAAAGCAAAAAAAAATATTAATTTGCTTATAAATTATCAATTGCTTCATAATGAACCACTTTGAGACTTAGTGACTAAAAACAGCAGATGTTTTATTGCTCACAGGTCTGTTGCCAGGAATTCAGGCAGGGCTTAGCGGAGATGTCTAGTCTCTGCTTTATGAGGTGTCAGCTATCTTCACTTAACTGGGGTGGAAGGTCCAAGATGGCTTAACTCACATTACTGAAGTCTTGGTGCTGCCTCTTGGCTGAAGTTACTTGATTCTTCTCCACAAGGCCTCTCTCCATTCAGGAGTTTAGCCCAAGCTTTCTTACATGATGACTGGCTTCCAAAAGAGTGAAGGAGGAGGAAAGATGCTAATTCTCTTAAAGCCTGAGTCTGGAACTGGCATTATATTCTTCTGCAGTATTCCATGACAGAAGGACTAGAATGGTGGAAAAGGGAAATAGACATTACGCGGCTTGATCGTAGGAGGAAATTTTGGCAGTTATCTTTGCATCTAACCTAACACACCTTGTTATATTGAGAAACCTACTACGTAAGAGTGAGACTATTGAAAGAGAGAAGGCATATCAGTTGAAATGCTTTTGGCTGCAGTAACAGGAACCTTACTAGATGTCCTTATTGTTTAAGCCTTTTTAAAACAAATCCTAATAGCTAGATGCATGGAGATAAAATCATTCCCAGGGTTGGTTACTTCTGCATCTGGACAATATTGTCAAGGACACAAGTTTCTTTCTTCTTTTGGCTCTGCCATCTTTAAGTGTGTTGTTTTCCCATCTGGCTTGCTTTATGGTCCTAAAATGATTCCCTCAGTTCCAGATTACAGATAATGTTCAGAGACCAAAAAGGGGAACATCTTTATCTTCTGCCCCTTTAAAAGATTAAGGAAACTCTTTTTCCCCGGCAGATTTCTCTGTCATGTCTTATTAACTGAAATTGCTTTGAGTGCTTACGTCTATCACTGATAAGGGAGGTAAGGCCTCCATGGTGGGATTAGGACAATTGCAATTTATATCTTAGGGCTAAGGAGAAGGCCAGCCTCTCCTAAAGGACACAGACACTCGAGGGAGAATGCATGAAATTAGGGCTGTGTTAAAAAGGCAGAAAAGGGAGATAAATAGATGAATGTTGAGTTTGCAACAGTAATATCTGCTTTGATAGGTAATCTGATTCCCTTGTATAGGTAAGAAAGTGAGACACTGAGAAAAAATCCAGACTCCTGTCCTTCCTTATAAGATGTTACATATGTTTAAAATATAAAATATTAATAATTACTTACTTGCAAGAGATGTAGACTAGAGATTTAGAGCTAATTTCTGGGACATAGTTTAAGTTCCCACTGAGATAGCAACTGATTACCCCGTAGGGGCTGTAGGGCCTTAGGACCTCCTTAGAGCCCCTTAACGGCCTTAGCCAACAATTTCCATGACTTATTTAACTTTCAATGCTATCGATTATATCAGTGCCCTTGAAATCATTCCCTCCATCTTCCCCCATCCCCAATCTCACACATATCCAGTCTGCTTTAATATGAAAATATTTGCTAAATTATTGAATCAAGGTTAGAGAAGTATAATTTTTGTTTTTCTCCTTCAGACGTTCTTAATTTTTGTTTCTGTTTTTTTAATGATATGTATGACAGATGTGAAATAATGTCAGCTCCAGGCATTATCAGTGATCAGTGAGTAAGGTTGCTCATTCAGTGAAGTCCAACTGCTTGAATTACTGTATCATGCAACATCGGTCTACTTTATGATATTTATCAAGTGAGATAAGCCCATCGAAAGTCTCTTAACTGTAAACAACTATTCAATAATAAAGGATAGAGAAAATGGCTTCTGATGCACAAAGGAAAGGAATCATTTTCTTTTATTTTTATTTTTTATAGAAATTTTTATTTTTCCACAGAGACGAGGTCTCAATATATTGCCCAGGATGGTCTTAAACTCCTGGGCTCAAGTGATCCTCCCATCTCAGCCTCCCAAAGTGCTGGGATTACAGGCATGAGACACTACACCTGGCCAAATCATTTTCTTATTCAGCAAATATTATGAAATATTGGTATATGTGAAACACAGAAGAAAAGTAGGGATTCAAATGAAGTAAAATATATATGCTCTTTCCCGTCACTCATCACTGTAATTCCTAGAGTATCAATTCCATGAGGGGAAGGCTTTTGTCTTCCATTGTTGTCTCTCCTGCACGGGCTAGCATTGTGTAGATATGTTGATGAATAAATGAATGAATATATAATACGTATATACAAGACGAAGTATTGATGCAAAAACTAGTGAGAGTATTTGAAGCATTCAAAGAAATGGAGTATACATGTAGGAACATTTTTAATAATATGCTTAGACTATTTTAATATGAACCCAGGATTTGTTTTTATCAGTTATGGTAAGATGACAGACACAGAGGCCATTGCCTTTACAAGAAGAGTTGTTTATTACAATTCTAGAGGATAAGACGCATGGTATGCCATGGGACCACTTGCAGGGAGAAGCAGGGAGAGTGAGAATGAGTGAGAAACGAACTGATGCTAAGCCTTTATTACTATAGTGGCGGTAAGTTGCAAAGTGGAGATGTGCGGGCAAGAAGCAAAACACACATATTGGGGCTAGTGGTTGGAGGGTTTGTAGTGAGATTTCTGAGGTCCTGAGAAAACACAGGGATGGTGGAGGTATAAACAACCTTGAGCCTCCAGCACTGGCCAGTGACTATAAGCTACCACATCATCAATTACAGGATATCAAGAATAGTCACTGTACTATTGTATTCTATGGCTCTTCCATGATGTCACTAATTTAGCAGTTGTATTTTTCAGAGACAGATAATAGGATGTATTAACAGAGCATGACAGTGCTTATTTGTAGTATCCAAAACAGTAAACAAAGGCCTTAGTTACTAAGTTGTTTCTGTTGGCTGCTAATGTCAAAGAAAGCCTTTGAGGTTTCTCCTGACATTTATTCTTGTGTTTATCAAGTATAGAACAGAGTTAAAGCTTCAGGTAGGCTATTATTATTGTTTTACTTTTTGCAGGTTAACCACAGTGATAAATCATTTGACAGGGTCCCACCGCAGCTCTTAATTCTGTCAGTCACTTCAGAAAGATCTTCCACTGGGATTCTGTTCTGTCTTAGGGATAATTCAACAATGATACATAGATACATTCTAAGAACTTAAAAAAAAAAGGCAATGCCTAAATGCGTGGAATATGAGTAATAAAAAGAAAAACACATGTTCTCGTAGTTTTGTGGGTAGAAAACTTGAGCATTTGGAGAGAAAGCATTGAAAAAAAAAGCTGTAGGAATTAAGTGATAAAAGACACTCACCTCATTTCATTATACCTATTATATGTGATAAGGTGGATATGTTTAAAAACCTAATCTGTGGATATCTTTAAAAATCCAATCTGGTTGCCTTGAGCTTGTATTATTTGCCTAAATTCTTTTGTTGTAGCTATCATTATTAAAAGGAGAGTTAGATTTTAATTGAATTCTTGATAGACAATGAATTTATTGAATGCTCATTGGGTTTCTGTTTGACATTGTCTAATAAGAAATTTATTTCTTTTAATCTTGCTTGGCAACATAGTGGTAAATGAATAACTAATTTACATATTCCCCCAAATTACCTTAAAGCCTCCTAAATGCCAAATATACTTTTATTTTTAAATATCTTTCAGGTGGTACAATATAATTTGCTTATCTTTCTGGATATGTGTAGCTTTTAAAAATTATTTTTATATATTATTTTATATATTATGTTTTTATGACTGGGATTATACTGCTGCATGTCATACTTTTCTTGTAAATGGCTACTTCTTATATTTAAAATATCCAGTTGAATACCTTCTTGTGAAACTTCCTTTATTTATAGTTTACCAGTTTGAAATTTGTAATCAAGTATACAGACAATAAATTGACTTTCATTACTGGTTTTGGAAATGATTATCCAAAGGGAACTTTTGGGGCTAGCACCTTGGGGAGGAAGGGGCAAGTGAGTATGGACAGAGTAATACAGTGTTTAAAAGGTCAGGTTCTGAAGAAAGCTTGGTTCAAATCTCTGCTCTCTTAATTCTTAGCTCTGTGACCTTGTACAAGTTTCTTAAACTCTGTATACCTCAGTTTCTTCTTCTGAAAAATAAGAATGATTATTGTGTCTACCTCATAACATTGTTGTAAGCATCAAGTGAATCAATACATTTAGAACAGTGGTCAATAAATGTGTATTGTTATTTGTGGGAGGAGGTATTGAGTCGGTGGGGAGAATGTGGAGGCTAGAAGAAGGAATATTTCTGCAGGTTTGGATATGCCCAATGATAAGAACAATTTAGGGTCATTATTAAAAATAAACCTTTCTATGTCTTCAATCAGAACACCTATTTTTTTAGCAAATACCCCAGATGATTCTTAGTATCAGTTAGTTTAGGAAACTGTGATATGGTAGACAGAGTACAGGCTTTAGGGTCAGACAGATGTGGATGCTGATCCATCCATTAAACAATTATGTGTAAATGTCTACAGGTACCATTCTTTGGCTACAGCAGATACTAAATCTGATAAAAATATTTCTACGTTTATCCTTATAGACCTTATAGTATATATTGGGATTTCCACTCTAAGGCACCAACCAGGGCCTCATTGAGTGACTTTAATGGACTTATTTTTTATTTTTTTTTATTTTACAGACATAGTCTTACTCTGTCAATCTGCTCAATCGATCCTCCTGCCTCAACTCCTGAGTAGCTGGGAAGACAGGTGCACATCTCCAAGCCTGGCTAATTTTTGTAATTTTTTTTTTTTTTTTTTTTTTTTAGAGATGGGGTCTCACCATGTTGCCCTGGCTGGTATCAAGCTTCTGGGCTCAGCAATCTGTCTGCCTCGGCCTCCCAAAGTGTTGGGATTACAGGTATGAGCCACCATGCCCAGCCCATATTTACCAGATTTGGAATACCAAAAAGTATTTGACAGTGATTTGAATTGGAGTTCAGTTTAATATAATTGCTGTCCTTATCTACTTCTAAGATCAAAACGGGAACAGAAACCCTGTTTTGTTTGTTTTTTAGTAAATGAATTAAAGAACACTAGTATTAAGATCAATGTAAGAGTGCTATTTAATTTAATACTGTGAAAAATAAACATTAAAGATAAAATACGATTTTCTTGTAATCTTTTGAGTATTGCAGTTTTTATCCTTTGATTTGCAGATTCTGGATATATCTTCCACTGGCTATGGTGGTTTTCTCTTCTTTCTACTGTTGGTGCTCATGCATTAAATACAGTATTTAAAAACATTAAAAACAAAAATGCATTTTGGACATTGCTGTCAAGGAAATGAGATGTTCATTCTAGTGGCATTTTAGACAGCTGAAGCTTACCTCTTCAAGAGCCAGAGTTATCACATTTTGAACCTTCTAGTTATATTGTACATTTCCATCTCTTTACAGAGTATATTGAACACTCTTAGGGCTATAATTTACTCTCACACAAAGTATGATTTTTGGAAATTATGGAAGTATTGGAAGAAGGATACAAACTCACTTCTCATTTACTATTCAACCTGAGGCAATCCACTTTCCTGTTACCATTCCACTAAAGTTGAATCCTTGAACATAATGACTTCTCAATCCTTAGCCTTCCTGCATTTTAGCATTTATCACTGTTAATAGCTTGTCCATTTTTTTTAGATTCTAGGGCACTATTTTTCCTCTCCCTCTCCATCCACACCTTTGCCCTACTGCTGCTGCCTCCTCCTTTCTGGTTACTTCCTTCTGAGGTCATCTTCAACACTCCTCTCTTCTCCATATATATTCCTTCTCTGGCAGTGATTTCATTCTTCCACTTATGCATAAACTATCCCCAAATTTGTACTTCCAACCCTGACTTGTCTACCAGGCTCTAAATCTTAATATCCAACTTGTGTGAGCATCTGTTCTGGACAATTCACCAATGTCTCAACATTCACACAGCCAAATCCAATTCGACTGCCTTCCCCCATCTTAAATTTTATTATTAGTCATAAATTGCTATTATTATGAATTATTAAAATAGAATAATTATCTTACTTTCTTAACTTTCCTTTTTGCATCACACTGTCAAGACTAAGTAGAAATTTTAGGGCAGTGTAAGGGACCAGAAAAATTGGCCATTCTTTAACTGTGATCCTATTGAAGCATCATTTGAAATAGCTCAAATTTATCTTCTTTTTCTTACTGCTGTTTCAATTCCGGTCTTTGCTGTCTTTCTTGTAATAGCTTTTTAGTCCTTGTCTCCTATCTCTCCTCTTATTCCAATGCATCTTTCAGATTGCTGCCAGAGTCTTAATATGAATTTGATTATGTAATCATGCTATTTTATAAATATTTGCTGCTTTGCCATGTCCACCAAATACAAGGTACATACCCTTGCCCTACCATCCAACATATTCCTTCTTCTGACCCAAACCCATGTTCACCCCACATACTCAGGCACCAAAGGTGATGTGCCATTTCTCTTATCCTATTCTGTCCAACTTCCTGGAATTTGCTCCAAATATTATTATTTATTTATTTGTTTGTCTATTTATTTATTTTGAGACAGAGTCTCGCTCTGTCGCCCAGGCTGGAGTGCAGTGGCACGATCTTGGCTGACTGCAAGATTCGCCTCCTGGGTTCACGCCATTCTCCTGCCTCAGCCTCCCGAGTAGCTGTGACTACAGGCGCCCGCCACCATGCCTGGCTAAGTTTTTTGTATTTTTTAGTGGAGACGGGGTTTCACCCTGTTAGCCAGGATGCTCTCGATCTCCTGACCTTGTGATCTGCCCACCTTGGCCTCCCAAAGTGCTGGGATTACAGCCGTGAGCCCCCGCGCCAGGCCTATTATTTTTAATAATCTTTTTGCTTTTGGTTGAAATTTTCAGCATCCTTCAGGCCAGATTACATGATTTTCCTTGTGAAACCTTCCTCAGCTCCCTAGGAAGGGCTCTGTTATGATGTGCTCCTCTTGACTTATTTATTTATTTATTTGAGACAGGGTCTCACTGTTACCCAGGCTGTGTGCAGTGGCATGATCTCTGCTTACTGCGATCTCCACCTCACCAACTCAAGCAATCATCCCACTTCAGCCTCCAGAGTAGCTGGGACTACAGGTACGAGACACCACACCCAGCTAATAACTATATATATATAAAAGAAATGGGGTTTGCTGTGTTGCCCAGGCTGGTGTTGAACTCCTGGGCTCAAAGGATCCACCCATGTCCGCCTCCCAGAGTGCTGGGATTACAAGTGTGAGCCACTTCTCCTCTTGACTTATTTATGTTAGTCTTCTCAGGACCTGGCAAAGCACTTTGAGCATAATGTTAATTTCTTTTTAAAAATTCAAATTACTCATATTTAGAAATTATCCTTAAAAGGAACTTTTCATTACCATTTAGTTCTTTATTCGTAAATTTCCTTTTTGGATTTCTTAGAAAACGAAAGTAGTATCATCATTGTCATAATCACTTTGACAAACATTTAACAAATGTCTACACTGTTTATATACAATTGAGGTACAGAACAATTTAATAATTGGTTCAACACTCATCAACTGAGTGAACTGTATAATAGAACTAGAGTGATGTTTCCTGATTGTACTTCTCCAGTGCTGCGCTGCCATGAAGCCATCAGTGAGGACTAGCTGAGATTATGGGAGCCAACCACATCTTCAGGTCTTCAAGTTTCATTTGAAGTACAAGGTCATAACCTGACTCCTACTTGACACATTTCTAAGCTTAGTGGCTAATATAATTTTAAACAAGTCTCAAGGAAATTACATGAAGTTAGACAAGTCTAGCCAATGTTTAAATAGCAACTGATTTCTCAGTATCCTAGGAAACTACATCAAAAGTAGGGACTCAAAGACTCTTTAAATAGAGGGAATGTCAGGATCTCTTCAAGCTTCACAATCAAGGGTACTATTAATTAACAGTTTGTGTAGGTAAGCATGACAACATAGCAGAGTAAAATTAAGAATATACACAAATGAATGCCTTTTGCTAAAGAACAAATCTAGCCAAACTGAACAAAATAAAAAAGTAATTATCTTTCTAATCTAACTTGCCTACAATTTTACCACAATTTTTACTACTATATATTAGTCCATAAAAGGACCTCATACTAGTAACATCCTATAGTTATAGTAAAATATATGATATTGAATGTCAATCTATTTCATAGGATAAATTTTTCTGTTTTTATAGAATTTACTTGTACAAGGAATGAATACATTAATTAGCCTAAAAATCCTCAGTAGTTCTTAGTTATTTGAGTGCATTACTATTAGTAGTATTTATGTTAATAATATATATAAGGGGTTAGTATTATAAACAGTAAAACATCACATATTCATCATATTTATTAGACTGAAAGGTCATTAAGTGTGCAAATAATAATTGTTCCAGGTTACTTAAGCATTTTTCAATATTTCATGTTCCCAGGATTCTTTTAGCTCTTTCCTCTCTCCTCTCTGGCTTGACAGGAAACTTGCTATTTTGTGTTACATTCACCTATTATTATGCATTAACAAGCAGGTGATAATTAGTGGTGATACTAAAACTAATTGTAAAATGGTTGAAACCATAAGATGACCTCTACTGCTTTAGAAGTAGTTTGACTGGAGACAGTAGAGTAAATAGATTTTTGTTTACCCTGCATTCCACAGTCCAAGAGTTCTGGTGGCAGTTCTGCGACTGTTTTTCGTCACATGCTGTTGCAGGATTCGACATTTCCCTAGAGCATGCTGCCCCCTGTTGGCCATTTAAAGCAGGGCACGTTCAGAAGGATCCTGGTGAAGCCTGCAGTGTAATTTCTCATTCCCAGTAACACGTAATTTCTGAACATAGAAATTTGGATTTTAAATGTCTAAAGGCTTTATCAAATATTTTAATTGTAAATAAAAATTATATAACATCCCAAGGAACCAAATAATCTTGAATACTTTCTACCAAACACTTGAATACAAAGATGCTGTAAAAGAATAAATTTTATGGCCGGGTGTGGTGGCTCACTCCTGTCATCCCAGCACTTTGGTAGGCTGAGGCCAGCGGATCACCTGAGATCAGGAGTTTGAGACCAGCCTGGCTAACATAGTGATACCCCATTTTTACCAAAAATACAAAAAATTAGCTGGGCATGGTGGCGAGCGCCTGTAATCCCAGCTACTCGAGAAGCTGAGACAGGAGAATCACTTGAACCTGGGAGACGGAGGTTGCAGTGAGCTGAGATTGCGCCATTGCACTCTAGCTTGGGCAACAAGAGCGAAACTCTGTCCAAACAAAAACAAAAAACAAACAAACAAATTTTATCATAGCTACTTTTGAGTTACATGAACAGAGAAAGAAAATTAGCCCTGAAGAATTTGTTTACTAGAATTTTACAGTGAATCTCCTAAGGCTGAATTTCTCTTATACTTATTTAGTCTTATAAATTCAGTATCACTTATTGAGTGATGGTGTATGTGAAAACTAAATAACTTTGGCCTAAATGAAAATGTTGGGTATTTAAAATGTCATTAATATACAAAATATTACTATGTCTTAATTTTTAAACACTTAATTAAATATAAAAAAAAGTTTATTAAGCATCAGTGAGCCAGGCAGTGTACTAGGTTCTGTGAATACCACAGTCCCAGTTGACCCTTGAACAACTTGGGGGTTAGGGGAACTCATGCACCTACATATAGGTAAAAAATCTGCATATCGGCCAGGCACGGTGGCTCACACCTGTAATCCCAGCACTCTGGGATGCCAAAGTGGGAGTACTGCTTGAGTCCAGGAGCTCAGGACCAGCCTGGGCAACATAGCAAAACCCCATCTCTACTAAAAATACAAAAAATTAGCCGGGTGTGGTGGCACACACCTGAGTCCCAGCTACTTGGGAGGCTGAGGAGAAT